TAACCATCCAGAAGACAAGCTTATTGTTATTATCAAACGATTTGGGCTATCAATCTTAACCTCACTATCTCACTGCATTTCAAACATCTTAGGCAGTGATGATTATTTGAATAGCCCTAAATTTAGCCATCTCAATTAGTCTTTCCTCAGTTTTGCATGTAAAATGTAAAAAATATATGACATAGATAATGTGAGATAATTTAATGCTTTAAGAAACTCAACAATTGAGAACATATTTCAACATGAGGGACAGATATCTTTTGATAGTCTTCCTGTGTTTTTTTTTTTTTTTTTTTTTTTTTTTTTTTTGGTACTGGGGATCAAGCTTGGGACTCTATGCTTTCCAGGCAGGTGCTTATGCCACTGAGCTGTATCCCTGGCCCAGTCTTCATAATCTTTTTCATCGTCTTTTGTTCACATTTGGGCAGCATTATGTCAAAAGTTCATGGTAGCTGATGTAAACAATGATAAAGCTAAGAAGAAACCATTCCTGAATTTTTTTCTACTTTGGGGCAAGATATTGGATAATATAGTTTTAAATAACCACATAAACTGGTGATAGCTAGAGTATTTATAGAATTAACATGTATATGGTATTTAAATTTTAGCTGAGACACATTGAAAACAAATTAGAAGTAGCCCCATCAAGTACAGCTGTGTTTGATTCTGTCATGGATGTTAAGAAGTCTTCTGCAAGTGCTACCCGAAAGATAAGTAGAAAAGGTATGTGTGACGTTCTTTTAGTGATTTTATATATACTGGTGGAGATGGGGATGAAACCTAGGGCCTTGTGCATGCAAGGCAAGAGCTGTATCACTGAGCCACATCCCAAGCCCCCCAAATATAAAGTTTTGATCAGATTTTTTTGTTTCTTTTTTATTAGCATATGTTTATGATTCGTAGTATTTTAATTACATTCATCTTGAGGAATTGATGCCTATTGGATCTTAATCATTTTAGTAGTCCCAGCATTTAATTTTCTTCTTTGGTACTAAGAATTAGTTATGAAGCAGTCTCATATTCAGTGACTGTAGATGGTATTTTTTACTATCTTTTGATCTGAAACTTTACCACAATTCCATTTCCTTTGATAATAAGTTTTCTTTGTAATGAGAATTTCTTTCTTTTCTTTTCTTTTTTTTTTTGGTGGAACTGGGGATTGAACTCAGGCCCTTACGTTTGTCAGGGAAGCGCTTATTCCACTGAGCCATCTCCCTGACCTCTGTAATGAGAATTTCGTCTTGAGTACTTGAGATGTATTATGTCAATTTGTTTTAAAGCTCACAGGTATATTATTTTTAATATAAAATTTAGTTGATTTAACAAAGTGTATTTTTTGGAGGGATTCAACTTGGTGAAAGAACCAGAGCACTGAATTCATGTCCCAGTACTGGGAAAAAAAAAAAAAAAAAAAAAAAAAAAAAATTAGATGAAGTATCATTCATAGGAATCATGTCATAAATTGACACAATGTGTTTTCTTTGGTTACCTTTTGCATATTTTCATTCTGTGGTTTAAGTTATGGGCAAGTCAGATCTGTGTACTTAAACTGATTTTTTTTAAATTTGAGAGTTTGAGTTTTATCTAATACTTCTCTTTAAAATAAAATTATCATTATCATCATTATTATTATTATTATTTTGTATTTTAGGGAAGCGTTTGCAGAATGTTCAGGTTTCACTGCTAGATCGGATTCGTAATGATCCGCCTGTTTACAGCCTCCCAAGAGCTGGAATTACAGGCGTGTACCACCATGTCCAGTCTTGATTGCTGTTTCAGTATGCCTCATGGGTGGGGCTTACATGGCATAACATAAAATTATTAACAAGAATTTTACATATGCAGCCATTGTTAACCAGCTATTCTTGGTTTGAAAAATCTGTAACATATGTACTATTGTATGTTACCCTGTTTCTTTCTTTATTTCTGATCTTTGTTTTTGCTTTGACTTTACTTTTCAAAATAAAATTTAAAAAATTTACATATAGGTTTTTTCTTAAGCTCAGAATAGTCTTTTCTTTGTAAATTGAGTAATATAATTTCAATGTAAATTTTTTTTGTCTTGATATGGTACAGATAACACATAAGTCAATTTTTTGTTTTTTTTTTCTTTTTTTGGTGGAACCAGGCATTGAATTCAGATCCGTGCACTTACCAGGGAAGCACGTATTCCACTGAGCCATCTCCCTGGCCCCGTCAGTTTTTTTAGATAAGAACAAAATTTAGAGGCAGAGTTTATATTGTATGTACTCACAGATTTTATTTTTCTTCAGATGGTAGATACCTGGATGATTCTTGGGTTAATGTTTCAACCTCCAAATGTAAATCACGAAAAGAGAAATCTCGTAGTCCTCTCAGAGCTACCACCTTGGAGAGTAATGTGAAGAAAAATAATCGTGTGGAATTTCGTGATCCTCTGGTTTCTTACAGGTTAGCACTGGGGAAATGAAGCAGCTAGCGTTGGTCTGTAATACTTATAGCAGGTTTATAATTTTTTTCTGAGTTTTTAAAATAATATTCTGGCCATGAGGTAATATAATATTTTACTGTTACTACTATTTTCATTCTCCACAAAAGATGGTACAAAAGTCTTTACTGTTTCCTTTGTTGTTTTTGCAGTGATGTGGATTGAACCCAAAGCCTAATACATCCTAGGCAGCTGCCATAACACTGAACCACATCTTCAACCCTATAGAGATGTGTGCTTTCACACTGTCTAGTTTTGCTACCCTTGTAAAGTTTTAAAAGTTTGATTGTACAGAAGTTATTTATAAGTATTAAATATATACATAATTGTTATGATTGATATATTCATTGTGGAATTGCTAAGCTGTTAAGATATATAATACCTCATATATATATATATTTTTTTTT